TGGGTTCTTTTTGAGTGCAGACCTGGGTTGCAGAGAGGGTTGCTAATCCAGTTTGATAGTCAGGAAAGAACACGCCAAGGAAATATTTGAGCGAATGCCTGAGCAACACCAAGAATCCAGCCATGAAAAGAGGTAGGGGCAGAACTTTCTGGACAGCAGGATCCATCGTGGTAAAAATTCCTCATTTATTAATGAGGTGGATTTGAGGAATCAAAAGAAGGTCCAAGTGTCCAAAGTTCAAAGAACTGAGAGTGGGGAGAAGGACAAAGTCAAAGAAGGGACAGATAAAGAAAACTTTTCAGTTTATGGAATCACCTCTGCTCATTGTCCCTAGTGATTGTTTCTTCCATTTTCTGCTGACTTTACATTCAGAAGCTTCATTCAGGATTCACACTTTCTACCCAGTTAAGGAATCTCAGATCTTTGCCTGCAAGGGGTTAAGGAATCTCGGATCTTTGCCTGGATCTTGAGGGTCACCATATTGAAATCTAGAATCTAATGAAATCTACTCTTTCCACCAAGGGGTGTTAACTATCTTCTGAATAAATTGGTTCCTTTGTTGGACACTTTAGTTATTAAAAAAAAAAAATCAGAGGGCTGGGGTTGTGGCTCAGTGACAGAGCACTGCCTCGAACATGTGAGGCACGGAGTTCGATCATCCTCAGCACCACATAAAAGTAAACAAAATAAGTATATTATGTCTATGTATAAACAAAAAATATTTTTTAAAAAAATTATTATTGAGTTTATCTTCCAGTTTCGTTCATCAAAAATGATATTTGAAGAGAATCATGGTCTTAAGAGTCTTCTCTTTCCCAGGACAACATCACCAGTTCCTAAGCTATTCTTGGTTTCTAGATTCTTAGAAGCCCTCAGATACACTTGTATTAGTTAGAATTCTTTTGGTAAGAGATGATTGAAAGTCCAAAGTGAATTTCTATAAGCCAAAAAAGAAATATATTGGCTCATGTAATTGAAAAGTTCCAGGGAATCCTACAGAAGTCTTGATCCAGAGGCGGGTTTCTCCGTGTCTTTTGTTCTTCCTTCGTTTGTGTTGGGTCCATTCTAGATTCCAATATGGTGGCCCTCAAGATTCCAGACTTGCATCAGAGTTTAACTGTGATGCTGTGATGAGTTCCAGGAAGACAATAAGATGGGAATGTGAATGTGGAGGATGGGCCTCATGGTATTCCCGCTGCTGGGGTTGGGAGAAGAGATTTACAGCATCATGAACAGATATACTTAGCGTGGAAGAGAAGTGATTCCATAATGGAAGAGTGGGGTACAGCTATTTGGAGAAAAAAAGTGAGCAAAAACTTTAGGGAGTCAAACAATAGCACTTTAAGTGAACCACACATTTGAAAGTGACCAGTATATTTCACCCACCTGCTTGCGGGTACAATCCAGGTCTATTTCTTCATGCAGTATTTTAATTAAAGACCCCAACTCCCTGATCACAGCTCATCTTTTCTTTCTTTCTGGGTTCTACCCTGGAATCAAAGGAAGAGCCAAGAAGTATCCAAAGCGTTCATTTGCATTTATTTGTGGTTCATCTTTGGTGGAAATACTGCATGGTGTTTGGGGTGAAAGTTGAACTTGGACCTGTTCTGGGACTAT